AAGTTATTTGGGAAGTTAAGTTTGGTTTTTTTTTTGGGTTATAATTTATAAATAATGATAATAAAATAGATTAAAATAATTAATAAAATAAAATATCACATTAAATTCATAATCATTTTACTTTTTTCTCTTACAAATATCACATCTAATTATAAAACAATATAAATATTTTAACTTATTAAAATAACTAAAAATTAAAATAACTCACTAAAATAATTAACTTTTGAAAATTATTTAAGAGCTCTAAAATAATGAGCTCTAATAACTCTAAAAATACTGTAGCCCCAATTAATGTGATGTTTTACTCTTTATTTTTTTTTAAAAATTTTCAGCACTGTCAACTCATTAGAACTGGCTTAATAACCCCTTTTAGTGGTACGTAGCACCACTGTTAACTTTTCAAATGAAATTTATATTTTTATAATAAATTATTCTCTGAAATTTATATTTTTATAATAAATTATTTCCGAATTTATTATAAAAATATAACTTTCAAAAAAAGAATTTATAATTTTTCAAACTTTAGAACGTATCTATAATTTAATTAAATTAAATTTCGAAGAGTATGCCTATGTTTGGCAAGAAGGTTTGGGTGGGTTTGGGGCTAAAATAGCCACAAAAAACAAAATAGGCTATTTTAGGTACAAAAAACAAAACATCAAATCCAACCCCTAATCATTACAATCCTCTCTCACAAAAAAAGTCAAAAAAGTCAAAAAGTCAAAAAACCCTTCCCAAACCAGGCTAAAATAACCCAGGCTAAAATAGTCAAAAAGCCAAAAAGCCAACCCACTTCCCAAACGGAGGCTATATATAATTTGCCCTTTCGTTTTTGGAATTAGACTCAGCTATATGATATGGCCCAACAAATCTGTACAGTTTAGGCAGCTTTTTCTCTGTACACTGTATAGTATCTCTCCATATCTGACCTTTTTCTCGAGGCAGAGAGTGAAAGAGAGAGAAACGCAGAGAGAGAAGAAGAGAGATGGAAGGGGACATAAGAAAGAGAAGAACAGAGATGGTCGACCAAGGTGTTTTGGGTTGAGTAAACCCGAATCTTTTCTCTCTCTCTCCCTCGTCTCTCTCTCTATATACATCGATATACACAAGTGATTGCCTCTGTCAATTCAACTCGGAAAGATGTATGCTTTATTGTGGTTCTTGTCTTTGATAGGGTCAATATGGACGTTCATCTTCTCGTCCTCTGCTCTCGGAATGCTAGAGCTTGTGTGCTGGAATTTTGGTTTGGGTGTGGAGCAAGTGATGAAGCTTTTACCAAGAAGATCGTTTGCATTCTTATTGATTTTTTTGGCTCTTGGCATGTATGCTCTTATCTTTGTAGCCTGCTACCTTCCGATCTTGCGCCATTGGAGGGGGGTTCTCATCTACATCTCATCGATGGTAGGTGAGACCAGCCTTTTACTGCTGAAATTTCTGGTCAGCCTCCTTCTCCAGGCCATCTGGATGGTGGTTGAAGACACCAAAGGCAAGCTCTACTTGCCTCTCATTATGCTGATAGCCTTCTCCATTATCATCATTGTCAAAGTGAAGGTATTTGTAAGACATGATGAGATGGGAATACTTGAAGAAGTAGCTGCCTCTTTTCTGCGATTCATGTTTGAATCTATTGAAGGGAAGAACTATGTTGAGGCTTGCTTATGCACTTTCCTTTGATCGCAATCGTAGCAGTGCTCTCTCCTCCTTTGGATGTTGAAAAGGTCCTTAGGAGGTTTGTCACATCTGGCTATCAATTTATCTATCAATCTGTCAATCTATCAAGTTAGCTCCATCAATCCTGTTACTACCACTCCTCCGATGAATATATGTTTTTTTTGGGTACATCGGAAATATCGGATGAATATATGTATGTGTTGTTGAAACATACCAACTTATTAATGAGACTATTAATATATTGCATCTTTTCCATATTTGGGTATCCATTTTATGAGGAATTATCTAACTCAATGTCTTGATAAATTTTATTTTATTTTAATCATATCTTAAATGATAAATCAGTGTGAAAGTTGAAAATGATTAAAATATTTGATTCAATGATAATCTAGTAACTTACATCTCTATCTGAGAAACAACAACCATTTATTTTAGTGGGGACGGACTTTTTAATCTAAAATCATTGCTCTTTTTATTGTGAGTTGAATAGTACTGTTTAGGATGATTTAAGTCCAAATTCAAAACCAAATTCAAATATTAGTTTATATGTGAAGTTGAATACAGTAGGACCACGCATTATTAGAAGGATTTATTTTGAGTATTCGACACATAAGTGGGTTTTTTTTTGTGGTTCAACTTTTCAACTAATACATCATTTTGGATTCTTAGCTACTCTACTTGGACTGTATTATCTACTTGCACAGGGTCAAAAACAGGAGTGTTGACAGAAACTATAATTTGATTTTTTTTAAATGAAATTATTGGTAAAAGCTATTGATGGTTTGATTCACTTTTTATGAGATTTAAAAAATATATATATATAGCAAATTATACATTTTTGATATAATTATAATAATCTTCCTTTAAGTAAAGTATGAAAACACAAAAATAAACAAAATAAATTATAAATTTCAGTGAAAAAAATGACAATATTATTTTTCTATTCATATAACTAACAATTTTTTGATGAAAATAAAATGACGTATTAGCAATTAAATTCTTAAGAAAACTCAATGTAATTATGTAAACATATGAGGTACTAGTATATTTTATCTAAATTTTGAAAGAAGTATGTGTTGTTAGAAAATGGCTTTGAAAAACTTTAGATTGCGTTTGGTAGAGTTTTCTAAATATGATTTGAGAATAACGTTGTATTTTGAGTTTGTAAGTTTTGAAATTATGATTTGAGTGTGAAAAATTTGTTTGGTGAATGAGTTTTGAAAAGAGTTTTAAATTAAGTGAGAAATTTTTAATGTGACATATGATATTTGATATAAAAACTTATAACTCATAATCAAAACATAACTCAAAATTCTATTAAAGTTCATAAAAAAATTTAAAAAATTCAAAAAATATTTTTTTATTGAATATATAAAAAATTAAAATGTGTCAATTGTAGTAAAAAAAAAAAAAAATTTGAACTGTTTCGGTCAACTGGCTGGACGACCAGTGGGACATTCGGTAGGACGTCCGCTTGGTCCAAATTTTCTCTCCTTCGACCGAGTTTTCAAAAGTGAGTGTGGAATTAATTTTTGAAAGTTACAACCAAACACCATATGCAAACTAAGAGCTGAAAATCACAATTCTAAAGCTCTTCCAAACAAAGCCCTTATTTTTTGTTATCTTTAAGTATTAATTAAGACAATACCCCAGCGTTATTTTTGACGTTTCTAAATGGATTCATGTTTAATGTCGCGTAGTGAATAACATCTTGTATTTGGTTGCTCAAAACTATTTTTCAGATGAATGAGAATTCAACGCGCATTTTCGAGTTTGTGAAAAATGGCTTTAGGTGGGTTTCCTACACATTTGTGAAATGTGTTTGTCCTACATTGGAAAGGCTTAAGGATTTATATGAGTATATAAATTTTAGCTTGCCACACTTGAGATGGGCCCCAAGAGGTACCCAAGTTTTGTGGAAGTGTTAGATTATGGATAAAATGGGCTAGACCCATTAGACCCAAAACAAAACACACTCGCGTCAATACTCATCCGACCCAATACTTATCTTTTTAGGCTAAAAACATTTGTATTTTTTTTTATTATTTGGATTTGAATTTTGAATTCAAAATAAATCTGTCCAGATTTTTCCTCCACCCGAACAAGTTCATACCTGTTAAAATCCACCTGAATAGATCTGTTTCTGTTCCAAACAGGTTTCTACCAGTTGAAACTTGTTCTGAAAAGCCACATGTTTTCCTATAAATAGTCTGCCATTCCAGCATTCATTCCATCTAATTTTCCCTAAGCATTTCGTCTTTCTTCTTCCCTCTCTATCTTCTTGTTTCTGCATCTGTCTACCATTTATTTTTAAGAAGAATAAGAAAGAGTCACAGCAGAGTTTTGGTTCGCCAGACTTGAGTTTGTAGTGCTGCAAACCAAGTAGCAATAGTCGACGTTGCATCCTGGGAGGTAGACGCCGGTAAATCTCGAAGCACCGAAGAGACGGCGAAATTTACTTTAAGAAGATTATGTCCAACACAAGTCTCGACATTTAAAATTTCTGTACGCAATTAATTCATAATTTAATTTATTATTTTCTGGATTATTTATTTTTGTTTTGTTATTTATTTTATTTATATATTTAATTTACACACACACAACCACTGGATTTAACATATGTAACTTACTCGTGCTATGCACTGGACTTTAAAATTAAAAACGAAAAAAAGAAAAGAAAAAGAAGAAGATAGTTTAGTTGTATTCAACAAACAAAACAATTATTTTTTCAGATAAAAGAAAAATAAAATTATAGCATGATTAAATAAAATGCAAATGGAAAGTTTTTTGTGTTTCTTTCAAATTTTCAAATAATATAATTTAAAAAGTTTCCACATATAGCTTTTCAAAATGAATATCTCACCTCTCTCCCCAAATAAATGTTTATGAATTTGTGAAGTCAATACAAATTTCATAAATAAAAAATGTATTTAATTCCAATTTACCAAAACAAAAGAGCAATATTAGAGACAAAAAATTTTATCAAACTTTTTACTAAACACTATGAAATTCACACTCATGTGAGTCCTGTAAAAAATTTGATAGACGCTTTGAGGTCTTTAATATCTTCCAAACAAAAAATAGTTGCCATGTAAAGCTTTTTAAAATATAGTATTGCCTAAAATTTTCCTACATTATTTAAAACTGTATACTAAGGGCTAGTTTGGCATCTCAAGAAAAAGATAAAAAGCCAAAAAGATACCAAAAAAGCCAAAAAGTTATCCTACTTTCATGCATTGGGCGGCAAAATTGTGTCTGAAGCTGCAGAGGGTAAAAATACAATTTTGCCCCTGCTTTGGATTCCTTCCTCTAACACAGATGTATGACAATTATCCTCTCACCCGAAGTTCTCTTGCCTTCTCCAACCTGTATTCGTCCTCGAACAACCAATATAGTCCCTCAGTCGGAGAATCAAGTCCACTCCGTTACGCTCACACCAGCGAGTGCCGCAGATCCGTCATACCCTTCACCGTGCAGCTTCGCCACAGCCGTGGGAAAGTGTAACCTCAACTCGATCGCGTGACAACAGTAACCGACGGCTATCGGACCATCCGTCGCCCAGATCTGCACCATTGCCGACCAGATCTACACCACGCTAGTCCGTTTCCCCCTAAGTACAAGGTAACATCTCTTTGACGCAAATGAGTTTTCGCATTTCAACCACTACCGTACAGATCTACCTTTTGTCTAAGCAAAGCAAATCAGATCGCGGGACAAAATAACCTGTTAATTTTGTTTACTTTTATACCATACCTTTGAAGCACCATCAACAGATAACAGAGTTTGAGAGATAGGAACATGACCAGATGTCCCCTGTCCCCAACTCATGGTTTGTTTTCTGCATGATATGTTTAGTACTGTAGAACACATTTATATATTATTACACAAAGGTAAATAATTTCATACGGTTTTAGAAACTAAAATATAGATTTTTATTATAGCGTATTTGACATTCTGAGGATAATGTAATTCATGTGAGCATTAATTTTAAAAATCTTATTCCTCAAACATTCATTAACATGACTACGATCCTTCTACCAATCAAGTACACAATCTCTAGGTATGGAGTGTTGATGAAAATCAATCTCGCGCAACTGGGGAAGCTGTGGTAGTATATATGTATAAACTTAAGTTGTAGCCACTGCTAGTTTATATATATGTATGTATACACACACTGACACACATACAGTGTACGTACACTAGCTGTGCTACTCGAAATTGTTGCTTGGAGAATGAAAATTTCTATGCAAGTGGTCAGTGGTGCGAGAATGCGCCGACCTCCTTGGCGCAAGCTGTGAAGCAGGACATCTTGAACTGGATATTTTTTTGTTATCATTTTTTATTGTTGTTTTTACATTTTAGTAAAAAAAAATGTAATAATATTTAAGGTTAGTTTCGGAAGAACGTTTGTAGTTTTATTTTTTGGCCTTTTGTCTAATTTAGCTCTGTTCGACAATTGTTTTTATGTTTTGTATTTTTCCCCAATTTGTTTTTCCATTTTTTCAATTTTTGCATGTATACCATAATTGGGTTGTAACATTGTAGTACGCAAATGGAGCAGTCCCAAATTCAGTTGACGCCATCCAAAACTTTGTGCAAGCGCGGTACTAAACAGGCGCTGCAGCAGTCCGCAAACGTGCATAAAGCATCTTGGGACTCCGACACGGTGCGGATTTTCCTGGAACTTGTTATCAAGGAGTTGGACGCCGGTTTCAAGGGGAGCTTCCATACAATGACAATGCATGGATATAGAGCTGTCTGCAAGGGCTTCCAGGAGCATACAAATAAGGTGCATGACGTCAAGCAACTACAAAACAAGTACGCGCTAATAAAAAAGGATTGGTAGTCGTGGTTGAAACTGATGGACAACAGGCATGGGCCAACCGACATAAGTTACAATGAAGCGACGGGTTTGATACAAGCATCTAACGACTGGTGGGCACATTACGAAAAGGTAAAATTTCCAATGATTTTTACTTACGCTCAACATGATACTGATGCATGTATTACAACGGTAGTGGTAGAGGCCATCAATTCTAGGCCTAGGATTTGGCTTGCTTGTTGCTTTCATTTTTATTTTTTTGAAAATTGTGGCTATGTTAATTACTTTTTCTTTTTTTTTTTTAAATTTTTTTTAAGAGTGGTTATGTGTTGTGCCAAAACATTCAACATTTTGCACCAACGCATCATACAAAATTATATGAAATTATCAAAACGAAAACCAACAATCTAACTGATCAGTCAATTTCATCGCGCAACTAATCCAACCCAATTGACTGATCAGCTAGGCTGCTGGTTAAAATTTGTTAATTCCATCTAATTTTATACGATGAGTTGGTGCGGGATGTCTATTTTTTTGGTACACCCCTACACATAACCACCTTTAAAAAATAACAACCAAACCAACACAGGGCAACAAATAAATTTTAATTTCATTTAAAAAAAAAGAAAGAAAAACAAACCAATTCAGCCTAACAAATAGAAGACAAACAAAACAACGCAGCCTATGTGGTTTAATAAAGTGAGTGAGTTGGGTTGGACTGATTGTGTCACGACCTCAAACCGCCCCTAGTAGTTTGGTGCCGTGATGGCCAGTAATCCGAGATTACCGAAGGCCAACTTACAAAATTCACACACAATCAGAGTATAGATATAGGGGGCTCACAAATGCGGAAGCAATAATCTAAAATACAAGTGGTCCATAAGAGCAGTGCATAAGTCAAATGAAATGGCATACATCTTTACATAGCTCTACAACTTGAATACAAATAAGATAAAGTACAAAATACATGTTACATCTTGATAAAAGGCTTCTCAAGCCGACATGTTCGAAATACTCAAGCTTCGAGATTGCCGACATAAAAAAAACACTTGAGCTACAAATCATGGAACACAATCTTCAGGATTGCCGACATCATTATGGCCGACATAACATGCATACAAAACACATATCTTGGCGTAGCCGACTTCTTACTTGTTACCTACATATATACATAGGGAGGGTGAGCTTGGATACTCAGTGAATGGTACAAGTAATAAAGGGGTTAAATGAATGATACCCGAGATCTTTTCAAAACAATACATAATATATCTTTGTCAAAACCATACTTATCATAGCTTTTACAAAACATGAGATAAATCTTGTTTATCAAACTTGATCTTACAAAACTTACATACTTAACATGCGTCAAATCTTAAAACATGGGGTGATGACATTCCAGGCAAAACAAAGCATAACCTCGGCATCGAACACACCCGTTCATAGTCCGTCGGTGGCCGATATCTTAACAAGGGTGCTACTTAGGCTTAATGTCCCCTAGCACAAAAGGACGGTGCTACCTAGGCTTAAAGTCCCCTAGCACGGAAGGACTATGTTACATGGGCTTAATGTCCCCTAACATGAAAGGACGGCGTTACTTAGGCTTAATGTCCCCTAACACGAAAGGACTATGCTACATAGGCTTAAAGTCCCCTAGCACGAAAGGACTATGCTACATAGGCTTAACGTCCCCTAACACGAAAGGACGGTGTTACTTAGGCTTAACGTCCCTTAACACGAAAGGACTATGCTACATAGGCTTAAAGTCCCCTAGCACGGAAGGTCTATGTTACATAGGCTTAACGTCCCCTAACACGAAAGGACGGTGTTACTTAGGCTTAACGTCCCCTAACACGAAAGGACGGTTCCAAGAATGTCATTCAAAACAAAGCTTATACTTGATACATAAAATAGGGATATCATTCATGCTTAACAAATACTTTTATCAAAACAAGGCAAAGCTTTATCAAAACGTTATAACATAACTTTATTAGAAATACCACTCACTTAGTTCTTGGGATGTCGGGGTCAAGGCAGAGGTCCAAGTCCTACAACACATGGCAAAGCATACTGAACATACTTCTCAAAACAAGTCTTACATGCATGCAGTTAATCTCAGGAAAACATGCTGGAAGTCAAAACACTATTTTACATGTCAGGAAGACATGCGGGGTACCAACCAGGTCTTTGCCGAGGTCCCACACCTCCTGGCCGAGGTGTGGCTACCCAGGCTCCGGCATGCGGCTCCATGCCGAGGTGCGCACAAGACAACTAAAGGTGTAAGTGATCATGCAAAGTAGGCCAAGGTGAGATACGATGCTTGGCCTAAGTGTGAGGTCTAGGTAAGAGTGATCTTGGCGACTACACCTCGGGAAGTGAGGTCTGGAGATCTGGGTTTCCACCCGTGAAGAACAGGAAGAACATGAACATGAAGATCATGAAGAACATGAATGCTAAAATCATAACTTCAAAGACAGTAATAACAGTAATACAGTATAAAAGAGGCTAGCGGAAGCCAAACAGTAACAACAAGGCGTCTAATGAGCTATGAAAACCTGAATGAGAAAAAGCTTTCACGGACTAAACCACATTCATAACCACATATATATACACATATCAGATACACATAATATGCAGGTTACCTTCGGATCAAAACATGACTTTTCTTGAAGAACTACTGCGAATTATTTTCTCTTTCTAAAACCGAACTTCAAAGCAATGCATGGCTTACAAATCATATTCAATCATGCAATGCAATAACATAAACACAAAGAACAACAAGAGCAGATTAAGAATCTAACCTTAGAACACGGATCTAACGGTTCGATCTCAAGGAATCAAGCTTAGAAATCTACTCTTTCTCAAGAACTCTTCTTCCACTCCTAGAGCTTCTCTCTCTTCTTCAAAACAAGTATACAACAAAATGATGGGTTCTCTCTCTCTGTCGGCTGACTTAGTTCTCAACTCGGACACGTGGCAACGGCTGGTTGGTTCTCTTCAAAAAGGTGATGGATTGACAAGACAAGGCTTTGACAAAGCGTATCTAACAAGCTACTCGGAATGGCACTCCGACAAGTGGTGACATCGGCTAACAACAAGACTTCAGCAACTAAGGTGACAATGACCTCGGCTAGGAAGGACGACACTTGACTAAGCTGTGCCACACCTTGGCCTAGATGTGCCACACCTCGGTCTAGGTCATACCACTTCAGGGCAAGATCGCTCAGGTGCAAAGGTAACATCTCGGCCTAGATGATACACATCTCGGCCTTGGTGATTCACACCTTGGCCTAGATAATGACATCTCGGCCAATATGCCAGGGCGAAGGTGGAGGTCAACAAAGGGGTTCCAAGATACTTCTAGACTGAAGATGACCTCGGCTTGGAATGATCTAGGCTTAAGATAACCTAGGCTTGGCACGACTTCGGCTAAACATAACTTAGGCTTGAGGCACCAAGGAAGGAAACAAGCATGCACACAACACTTAGACAAATCACATAACCACAAAACAAGGCGTGGACCTTACTTAGGCAAAACAAGTCATAAACATACAGATGCAAGCTCAACGAGTCATAATCATACAAATGCTCATGAACATGACTAAGGCATAAATATGGGCTGTGACAGTAACTTAACACGGCAAAACATATAATGCAAGCAACATAACTGGGACATGAAAATGTGGGTTGTTACAGATTGGGTGAACAATTTTTTATTATCCAATCAGTCAGATGCAACTCACTCACCTTATCAAACTATACAAGTTCAGTTAGTGCGTGATGTCTACTTTTGCAGTATACTTCTTCACAGAACCACTTTTGCAAAGAAAGGCAATTTTTTTGATTTTTTTTTAAATAAAAGGACAAAACTAACATAGCCACAAAAAAATAAATGCAAAAAAAAAAAAAAAAATTAAATTCAAATGGTTTTCGCAGCCTCAAGCATTATTAATATTAGAAGCATTATTCTTGTTTCCTATTCCTGTTCACGATTAGGTCTAGAATTGCTATATATATGTTACCTATATATATTACATGTACATATTGTATTGATACATAGTTGAATATACAGAGAACATTCAACGGAATGTAGCTTAGGAGAATAGTCAAATCAAACATAACTAGAAAAACAAATCAGGAAGAGACAATTGAGTAAGATCAAAAACTATTTCATGATAGCATTGCTTACCCATATAAGCTTTGTTCCACCTATGATTCTACATAAATAATGAACCATTTGTAGTAGTTGAAGAAGTTCTGATCATACCCACAATGTTTTCAACTTTTTAAGTGCCAGTAAAATGCAATCCTGGAGAGAATCAAACAAAATTTTTATTACACAACTACGTCGACCAAAGTGCCCAAAGTCTGAATTATGTTTGAAGACATGAATTTGGAGACATGCTCTTTGAGATGTTTTTTGCCATCCTGTCTTCCCACATTCGCAATTGCTAGTTTTTCTGGTGGCAACTTATCCTCTTCCTGCATTGCCTTGTTATATTTAATAGCAAGGTTTAGCATTTCGTGAACAGTCTGCTCATTGGTCTTTGTCACGACCCAAACCCGCCCCTATGGGTTAAGCATCATAACCGGCCAGTAATCCGTGATTATCGAAGGCCTGAAAGACAGTAATAACAGTAATACAGTATAAAAGAGGCTAGCGGAAGCCAAACAGTAACAACAAGGCGTCTAATGAGCTATGAAAACCTGAATGAGAAAAAGCTTTCACGGACTAAACCACATTCATAACCACATATATATACACATATCAGATACACATAATATGCAGGTTAGGGATCCAATCCCTACACCATAACTGTATAACCAAGTCTTAAACATTCGATACATAACAGAGACAAAAGGGTGAATCTAAAACACCCCAAAAACAGCCTTGGCTCGAGCAGACTCGGAACCTCGAAGTGAGGCACAACGATTGGCTGGATAAAACATGAGCTTAGCTTGACGCTTCTAGCTTTGGTTCAGTGCTTGGCCACCTACATACATATATAAACCCTGAGCTAAAGCCCAGTGAATAACAAATGTATAAAGGGGTTAAGAATGAATGTCCTTTCAGTAATTAAAACAGTTAATTGCATCTGTAGATCAGTTATTGAATCAGTGACTCATAGTTAATGTCATAACAGTCGTTTAGAAACCATAGCAGTGATATGTGGTACATTCAATAGTAGAACAGTACAGTAGGTCTTACTAGACCGAACAGTCAGTTGATGGCCATCGAAACAGCATACAGTATTGGTTCCAAACATTGGAACTAACAGAGATCTCTGTAACAGTAGCAATAACAGTAACAGTGTAGTAACGGTAACAATAATAGTAACAGTAAGTTTGCTATGGATGCCACGAGCACAGTTCATAAAACAGGACAAACATTCATTCAGTAAACAATGTCATTTCAGAAAGTAGTACAGTCAATCGTTCAGAAAATAATTATAATTGAACATATCTTTACAACATTGTTACTCACAGATTACTGGGCTATAGGCAGGCTAATCAGCGTCCTCGGGTGCCAACCCTACACAGTTACAGAACAAACACACACTAAATTACACACTCGAGATTAATAACTTAGCCCCTAACTTGACTTGGTGTGGTTCTATAACATTATCCTCATTAAGATGCCTTAAACATGGCCTATGAATGCCTAGGATGGAATGAGGATGTAAAAATGTACTTGAAAACTTTTTCCAAAACTTGCTGAAAACAGGGGTCTCGCTCGAGAGTGGATTTCCCTGCTCGAGAGAGCTTATCGAATGAGAGAGGTCGCTCGAGCGTAGACTCCCTCGCTCGAGCGATTTGCAAAAGTGTAAAAAGTATTGGTTGCTGAAATCCTCCACTCGATGCTCGCTCGAGCGTGAGAAACAGTTCTTCACTTGAGCGTAGGTCTCGTTGCTCGAGCGTACGTCTGCACACACAAAAAAAACTGAGAGCTTGCAATTTACGCTCGAGCCAGCATTCCGTTGCTCGAGCGGAATTCTGAAAACAAAGATGGTCGCTCGAGCGTGGAAGCCAAATTCTGGGTTTTCCAGATTTGCTCCCAAAGCTCAAACCATGGATCAAACATGCCAAAATTCATCCTTTTGGGCCAAATTTTCTGGAAAACACTTAGAAACTCATAATACCACATGATTTAAAGACTATTTCATAAAATCAAGACCCCAAGGTATGCCAATTGAACACAAATTTCAATTAAAACTTTATGAACAATGCAAGAACATAACATGCATGAGTTCTCATGAACTCTAATGCTCTAAGGTATGACCACATGCAAGATTGAGCTAAAAAACATGGTGAATTTCAGAGTACAACCATAATATGGACATGCATGCACACATTGTTTCTCAATCCAACTCTTTAGGCTATTTCTTGACTCCAATCTCCAATTTTTCCATGAACCATGCACGAAACAACTTAAATTCACAATTAAGAGAATGAATTTCCTACCTTAAGTCTTGAATTTCAAGTGTGGTAGCTCAAATATGCAATTCTCCTTCAATATCCCCTAAGTCTCAAGCAACTCATGTTGAATTCAATTTCTTTCCTAATCTCCCTCTCTCTCACGTTTTTGGCAAGAAGATGGACGAAGAAAGGTGCCAAACAAGTATGAGGTCAAGCAAATGGCCTTGAAAAGGCCCACTAATGGCAAGATTGTAAATAACTCTAGCTAAAGTAATTTAACATTATTTATTCTAATTTAATCATTCCAAATCAAATTTTAATTAAACCTACCATAAAATCATATAAATCCTAATTAGCATATAACACAAATCAATTTCTGAATCGGTCGCCGATAAGGCTTTCAATTTGCGAATCGAAATTAAAACATGAACAGATCATTCTGTAACAAACAGATAGAAATGCAATTAAGCAACACACTCACACAATCAATTTAGGATTTCACCTTAATTAATTACTTATCATGCTTAATCACAAATTAACGCTAATCAGAGGTGAGGGTTGTCACAGTCTTCGAATGGGTATCAAATAAATGTATACTTGAACAACATGCTGTAAATATTTTGATTGAGTTTTAATGACAAATACTACAATGTTGGGTTTGGATTATCATTCTAGTAGGGGGTACTTTGGGTTAGAATACTATGGTACAACGGTTAGTATGAGTACCATATCTTGTTGGGATTCATATGGGTCAGCTTCAATCTATCAAGTTCTTTCCCGATACATCCAACAAAGTTTGCGAATTAAAGGAAAGCTTTGAGGAGTAAATTGTGGTGTTGGGTGTGGATGATATGGATATGTTTAAGGGTATTACTTTGAAGTGCTTAGCAATGGGATATGTCTTTAAAGAACACCCTGAATAAAAATGACAATGAAAACCTATCGATGACAATTACATCACAAATCGAAACTATATAATCTTGAACACAATATTTGTTACTTAAAAAGGATGTCAGTTTCATGAAGTAATTGGATGAATTTTTTTTAATTTAACTCTGTTCACCTTAACTTTTGTAACAATGGTATGTGCACCAAAAAAATATAAAAATAAAAATAACAAAAATCATTATGTATCTCAATTTTATGTTGAATTTAGTTCATTCTACACGTAGAATAAATCTACGTCATACATTGAGCTTTCTCAATGTATTTCTTTCTATACATGTAGGATCACTCTTAACTTCTCAGGCTTTGATATTCTAACTTTATGATTTGAATTTTCAATATATTTCAAAACCTACTGATGAGACCTAACATCTTGTTATCTTTAAAATTTTGCAATTTCTCTATTGAAAATCATTCACAGTTGTTGATGTATGGTTCCAAATACATACATACCTTCACATTCGTATATAATTCAATGACTATAAATAGAACGAGACATGAGAATATAAAGTAGATGGGATAAACTTGCCCCCCCAACCACTAATGTATAATTTCAAATATTGAATAAGATGAACAAAAGCAACTGCTGTACTATCAACTTTCTAAACACAAATTCAAACATTGCCTTTTAAATAATTGACTTAAAAAAATTTGTTGTACTAATTTTTAGAAGTTGTTAGGAAGCAAAGTTGAGTGATCATGTTGGCTAACTATTGAAAGTTCTGAAGCAGTTTGCATAAATAAAATTCCAAAATAGCTACATATGGATCCTTCCCCCCCTCCTGAATCATGTTCTGATTTTTTGAGAGAAAAAATATGTTTGTTTTTGAAACATTAAGGCTGATGTCATTTTACATTAATTTCAAACTTAGTAAGTTCAATTATGTTCCTGTTGTGCTAAAAACCATAACAAATTCATTTCAAAGAGGTACAAAATAAAGCAAAAGTGGAAAACTGCAAACTAGGCAGTCAGCCAAACCCTCTCTCAAGCTATGCCTTCATAAGAAATGATTGATATTCATATGATGTAATGATTTCTCTTGTACAAACTTTATAACTACTTTGTTATACTCTTAGCCTCAGATAATTAGTATGACAAAGTAACCTTCCAATTGGTACAATGTAACATAAAAAAGATATTTTTCGAATTTAACCAGCTTAGTTTTATTTTTTGGGTTGCCTTAGCAGCAGGTTCATTCACACAACATGTAATGAATAATTTTTAAATTGTAGGCTATAGATTTTGCAACCATTGGCATGTAATCATGTGCAAGCTTTTATTTTGTCCCAGGTCGACAAGAATGCAATCAAGTTCAAAACGAAACCGTTGGAGCACATGGACCTCATGCGAAGGGTGTACGAAGGCGCAATAGCAACCAGCAAATATGCATGGACACCAGGTGCAGCGTTCGAACCTATTGCAACCGATGACGGTACATCGCCGATGGATGAAGAAGATTGCTAGGACAGCAGCAGTTTGCCCCCTTTCTAGCCTGCAGCGCAGCGTAAAGACACTGTCCACCACATTTCTGCGCTAGAGGATGACACGTCGGTGACCGTACACGCTGCGTCGTCGCCAATTAACACTGATGACACACCAACAAGTGGCGGCAGCAAATGCAAATTTATTCGCACAACATGTCCACAGTGAAAAAAAAGGCAGAGTGAGGGAGCTTCGCTGTTGGCGAGTAGCATGGAAAACCTTGCATCTTCAGTTAAATTACAACAACGAGAAGTCCGCGTGCGTCATGATTATGGAGATTCGACACAGGACCTCATTGACAAGTGTATGAGATGGTTGTACTCGCTAGAAGGGCTGGATCTGCAAGACCCGCTAATTGTTTTTGGTTTGACGGTACTGGACAACCCGGCAAATCAAGCCATAATGGTATGGATTCCGACAGACACGGCTGTCATTAGTTGGCTACGAATGAAGAAGGCCCAAAGTATGCACAACCCATCAGCAGCAAACTTCGGAATGGATGGTGGCTAGTTCTGAGCATTGTCTAGCATACTTGTCATGTTGGAACTTGTTTGTGTGTTGGTTTTTTTTTTTTTTTTCCTTTCGAACAAACAGTGTAACATTTTTCTTTCTTCCAAAAAACTGTGACATTGTGCATGGAATTTGTACGACTTTATCAATCGCTTGTTTTGTTTGATGATGTTGATGTTATTATCAACTACATGCTTGCAGCTGTTTAGGTGAAACAGGTTTTCTCAATTATTGAGTTACTATTTGTGTGAAAGGGCATTATGGAACAACTCTACCTTATAGAACTGCTGCAGATTTTGCAATTTGTGTATGTGTGACCAGTTGAGACATGTACTTGATTAATGGACCAGAATGAGTTTATTTTGCATTATGGAAGCTAATGAGTTTATTTTGCCCAGTTGAGTTGATTAATGGACCAGAATGAAACAGGTTATTTTGCCCAGGTTATTTTGCAATTTTAGTTTACTACAGAATGAGTTGATTAATGGACTAGAATGAGTTTATTTTGCCCATTTGAGTTTATTTTCAAATTTTTGTATCTGTGCCCAGTTGAAACAGATTGAGTTGCAATTTGTGTATTTTGCATTATGGAACAGAATGAGTTTAATGGACCAGCTGTGTAATCCTGTGCAATTTGTGTATCTTTTATTACTTGAAACAGGTGTCTACTTTGCATTATCTCATGCCTATAATTTATATAGCTATTGCAGTGTAATGAATTATATGAAACAGGCATGAAAGAAGGATGCTTTTTCTAAAACAACTGTGTATCTCATGCCTGTATCTTTAATGAATTATATTAACAATTTGTGCATTGAATTTGGGAACATCTGTGATTATTGACTTCACAGCTGTGTATTTTGTATTATCTGATGCCTATAATTCTGGTATGCATCTTTAGGTGTTGTGAGTGAGTAGAAGACAACAACGCTATACTTCATGATTTTCTACCTGAAATTTATTTGTGGAGGACTGCTAGTTATAGCCCAGGATTGGACTGTGGAGAACAAATGGTACAGGTTATAAATACAAAAAATATTAACGTGTGGCAGTTGGTAGGTTGTCTTGTAGTTGGGGAAGGGTTTGATGTGTCAAATAAAGTTGATGCTAGCCTTTGAGAGAAGGATGTAGGTGTTGCACATTGGCTTCAGAGAACCGAGCATGGTCCACATTTCATTATGGGAATCTTGACCTGTGTTATTACTTTTTCAATGAATGCTTTTTCAGTGAATACTTTTTTCATCATGCATACTTTCAACAGGTTTGTACATATTATATTACAAATCTTTGAAAAAAATATAATGGGAGATTTGTGCCATTTTTTTTTTCCATTTCACATCATTTTTAGCTCAGAAAATAGTGTGCTAAACTCCTCTGTTTTGTTTAGCATTTATGGTTGTGATTTCCTCCTTTTTTATCTTTTACTATTTTTTTTATTTTCCACATTTGTAATAGAGCTGAAAATTAATAAGAAGTTTGATATAATTTTGAAAAAAATATCATTAATGATAACTAATAAAAAAAAAATACAACGGAAAAATTGGGTTTGCCCACACTACTGGGGTCTTGCAGATTTTTTGAATGATCATTACAGATAAACATTAGTATATGTACTTACTTTTTTTTTTTTACTTTTTTATTACTGAAACGGTTAAATTTGTAAAATTTATCAGGAAACCCATTGTTGTGTTGATGACACACGTAGACTTTCCTTTGATTCCCTATTTTTGCATTTTAAATTTTCCCTTCTTGCCATAACCTTTTTATTCATCAACTATTATGAATACTGTAGGCATCCAATTTGGTTTCTTGATTAAAATTTTTCCTTTGTTTTCAAGCATAATTTTGTTCCCAATTACTGTTAATTTCTGATACATTTTCTGTTTTTTCGTTACACTGTCTTACTAGTTTTGTAAATTCATGTCACGTGTGTCTACAAATTTAAAAACTTGACTATGAACAAAAGGTAGATAACACAAAAAAATACACATGGGAACAAAAGCGAATTTTCTGAACACTGTTTATGAAAAATTATACCAAAAAAAGGTGCCTCTTTTTTTTTGGGATGCACAACATATACTTTCCTGAACACAAATAAATTTTTTGGGTGAACAAAAAAAAAAGGAATCATAGACGTAGGCCCGTTCGTCCTTGTGCCAACTCTCACAAACAAGTGAACTTCTTGAAATGCAGGAAAATGTAGCCACCACAACCAAAGCTCGTCTCTCTTTGTACCTTTCATTTGTCTATATAATCATACATTGACAGTGTGGTTGTCTTGTACACTCCCTCTCCCTTAAACTCCTTCATTTTCCATATTTCTTGCAGAAGTTGCGTGCTTACATTTGTACACAGCACCCATTTTATTTTTGCATATTTTGCGTTAAATTTTTTAGAAATGGTGGATGACGCTGGTCCTAGTCACATCGTGCCACGTATTCAATCCTGGGAAGCTGTCGGTGAAATTGCACGGGAAATGGTGGTCAAAATTGATCACAACTTGATAGAGGCGTTGTAACTCCCTAAAAAATACAGTATAAGACAACCATCCATATAATCCATAATCATAGAAGAAATCTTATATTTCATTTATCAGAGTCTTGCTTACAAAAGATATTACATGCTTGAAACAAAATAAATGCCCTACGGGCTTACAGCTTTCCAAGTATAAACTTGGTTACAACAAAAGAAGAGCTCTAACTCTATACATAAAAAGCCCTCGGCTTGAATTTACATGTAACATTAACAAATAACAAAAGGGAGTCTTCAACTCCTAACCTCCCAAGCTAAGGCCTTGGAGGCGGCAAGTCACCTGTACCTGAAAAATGGTGTCCCAAGTAGGGTGAGCCAAAGCCCAGTAGAAATATGCTAAACCAAATATAAGAAATGACTGCAACATTAGCATTCGACAAATGGTTAACACTTGTAAACCAACTTACACTCTTTTCGTAGCTCAACAACATTTATATCCATATTTCAAACCACTTCCATTTATTTATCCAAATCAATTCATAATGCATGGTTCATCATTTATTCAAACAATTCATAATGAGACTACAACTCATATTCTCAACACTTTAATCAACAACAATTAAAATGAGACTACAACTCATATAATCAACACTTCAATCATCAACGTCATTCAAACGTATTTAAGATTTCGTGACTTTCACCTTGGACACTCCGGCCAACTTAGTTATCAATGGAGTCCATCCCCTATCTCCTTCCAAACAGTGGAGTACATCCCCTATCTCCTCCCAAACCATGGAGTACATCCCCTATCTCCTCCCAAACAAAGATACATATGCGATGTATTTAAACACTTAATCATATACAATGATCAATTAAAGCACATATTCAATGTGTTAATCCAACCGTCAGATTCAATGACATAATTCAATTGATTAGTTTCAATTTACCTAATCATCATGCAGTTCTACAACAATCATGGCTATCATCTACCGATAGCCCAAAACAATTATCTCTAAACAGGTAAATAAATCTATCAAATAGATAAATTATTACATTTTCCATAGGTAAGTGATTTATCAATCTAACTACACCATTTAATCACAATTTCCTCTAATTTCACAATTATCAAACCAATTTCATATTTATACCAAATAATTCATCTAATTTCCAATTAGGGAAAATCTTCCCCTTTTCAAACATCAAGTCCCAAATACTCAATTCCATCAATTATACACAATTAAACCCAATCTCAAGACCTCACATACACAATGGAGCCTAAAGACATGAAAAACCCTCTTTTATAATTTCAAATCAAACCCTCACTTTACCCAAAATTACCATACACCACCATGTATGCAAAATAACCAACATTTATGTCAAAACTCATAATAAGGAGTAGTTTATCCCTACCTCAAAGATAGGAGCTCGAAGGAGAAGAAGGAGGAAACTTAAGATGCTCCAAATCCATACTTTTTTGGATCAAAGTAATGCCCACGCAAAATTCTAACTTTCTTACAAAGAGACTAGGGTAGAGACACTCTAAATCAAGTGTATTTGTAGACAGAAGGGGTGTTTTGAGAGAGAGAGAGAGAGAGTCGGATCTAGGGTTTGGAGTGAAATGGGGATGAAAAAGTGATATAGAATCATGCTGCTGCGAACTGATATATATAGGGCTCGCTCGAGTGACCAAACATAAGAGGACCTCGCTCGAGTGAACAATACAAAGCTTCAGGTCTACAATGCAAAAGCACGCTCGAGCACAAGAGTTCACGCTCGGGCGAAGGAACACCTCAACACAGAGCTCGCTCGAGCTTAGAAAAGCTCACTCGAGCGAAGAATGCCATCCTTTAGGTCTAACAGAGATGCAGACGCACGCTCGAGCGCAAGAATGCTCGCTCGAGTGAAGAGACACACCACGGAAAGCTCGCTCGAGCGCAAGAACCTTCGCTCTAGCGTAAAAAGCCTTGCTCGAGCGAAGATGCCAAATTCTGGGCAACAACCACTTGTTTCAACTCTCAACCAACCTGTTACCAATCCCAACCAACACATCCCAAAACTCAAATACAAGGAATTAAAGGATGGAAACAAGACATTGTAGAAACCCCATTTTTGACCGACCTTAAGACTCAGACGTCATCGATTGAGCGCTCGGTGATGGTGCATGTTGTGCTTGTCCTAAGGTTTCGGAGTTCTCGGCTGAGAACCTTGCCTCCGGGCCTCGAAACTTTTTGTGCTTCGACTCGGTTTGTGGACCAGGTCTTGTTTTCTCTTCCCAAAGGGAGGGAGAGGTCTTGTAGACCATCTCTCAGTGGTCGTAGACTACTTTTCGTGGTCGTAGGCCACTGTTCCCGTTTGGAGACTAGTTTTTGATTTTCGGGGCCGTCGGCTCGGAACTGCTTAACATTCTCCGTTTGCCCCAGTTTTTGACCCGGGAGACCACTTTTGTGGTCGTACGCCACTTTTGGTGCTCAACCGCCAGTTTTTGAGGCTCCCGGCTGCGCTCTTTGCCTCCCGAACTCTCGTTTTGGCACAACCCTTGTTTTCCCTATTTAGAAGGTGGTACAAGGGTGGGAGACCAACGTTTCCCTTGGAAACCACTTCTCTCTCTGCCAGCCAATTTTCTGCTTAGGAAACTGGTTTTCTTGGTCATTGGGCAATATTTATTGGTCTCCCACCATACCACTGACTTGCTTTCAGTGTGGAGACCACCTATTGTGCCTGCCGACCACCTTGTTTTGTGGGAGATCACTTGCCCTGGTCGGTTGACTAGGGAAACTGGTCGGCCAACCAGGGAAAGTGGTCGGCCGACCACCTCTTCTGGTCGGCCAGTTTCCTCCTGATTTGTCTGTCTGAGTGCATGCCAGCTGTGCCAGCTGGAAGGCACAGACTAGATCCTCCATACACATGTATGGAGGA